ATATAGTAACTGAGATATATCATGTAATACAAGTCTAAGTAAAAAACACATTAGAGAAATGTTACTAAATTCTAGGCAGGATATTATTGATTTATTATTGATTTTTTTTTTTTCTTTGACTATTTACAATCATATGAAATTTCACCCAACTATAACCAAGAAATACATAATTATAGTATTTTGGCACTTGTGTATAAAGTTAAAATCATAAATAATTTTCAACGTTAAACTGGTACACATTAAAAACATTTTATTTAGGCCATAGATAAGCCTAAATAAAATTGTTTTTAACTGTGTACCAGTTTAACGTCGAAAATTATTTATGATTTTAAGAAATACATATTAGTTTTGTAGGACAATCTTAATAACCATCACCTTTTTGTATTTGTTGTTGTTCATCAGCTTGCTGGGTTTCCAGTGCTACTGCTAAATACTGTTCTAATCTGAGAAGGAAATAGTTATTTCCTGTTTTAGCAATGGTTTCATCCTTTACCACAACAAAGTGAGAGTGATCTGGGTTTAGTTCATATTTGTTATCTTCAGGAATATTTCCTTCATTTTCTAACTGCACAATCTCTGTCTAAAACAGTAAAAAACAAAAAAAAAACTCAGTCAAGTCTGCAAGAAAAAAACTCATGGATAATGCATAGGATTATTTCATCAACATATTCAACAGAAATAACTACTGTAGTTGTGAGTTACGTTGTTTGTTGAATTTCATGCAAAGCTACCCAAGGGCTATCTGCACTAATCATCCCTAATTTAGAAGTGACAGACCAAAGGAAAGGCCAGCTAGTCAACATCACCCACTGCCAACTCTTGGTCTAATCTTTACTAATGAATAGTGGATTTGACCATTACATTACAATACTTCAATGGCTGAAAAAGCGAGCATGTTTGGTGATAGGATTTGATCCCACAATGTGCAGATTGCAAGTTGACTGCTCTTACCAACTGACCATGCCAGACTATAGTTATTAGAAGACATTCTCTGCATCTCTAAAAGCACATCTGAAAAGTTTAAAGTAAATCCACTTTAACATTTATGTAACAATAAAAAAATCAATTTTTAGTTTACTGTACAAATGTTTATGTGATTTTCCAACACAATGAAGAGACAAATCGTGTTTCTGTAGTTTTGACAATATGAATAATGATTACACATAAACTGGAACTATGCCTTGCTTTATTATCAATAATTTTGCAATAGTGAAACTGTGGATTAGTTAGGCCTAGTTAGGTGTAAGTTTGTGATTACTCGTGAAAATTTGAATGCATGGCCTGTTTTTTACATTTATTTAACCATGCTGTTCTAATTCATTTTACATGAGGATGTATAATTAGAATGTATAGAACACTACTAATAAATCAAAAGGTTTGTAGTTACTCAGATAAACATAACACTGCTTCTGTAGAAGTATTCATTTTAAAATAATTCATTGTGAAAGGTACTTTCCACCACATCTTGATGTGGTCAGTAGTCCGTCAAGACCTTATCGGTACTAGTTTTAAGCATGCAAAATGGGTGCCAGACTGCCTATACTTTTTATGGTGACCATTCTCCTTTTTGAAGTGAAATGCCAGAAACTGTAAAGGTATAAAGCAACATGTACCCAATGTTCATTGATGAGCTTAAAGTAATTGACCAATCACTTGCGTCCAGATTACGTGAAAGTTCATCAGCTGCCTGATTCTCATAACGAACTGAGAAGGGTATTTGATGCTATTACATTAATTTTGTTCTGTCAAAAATTAAACATTATAAATGGAATTGTCCTTTGTTTAAGGGAAAATAAATATGTAATTATTTCATTGTAATTATCATTCAATGTCTTGGGAATGCTTGGACCTCAGAAAATTATGTTCAATGGGAATGTAAAGATGTGAATAAGCCAATAAGAAACTGTTTTACTCTAGTAGGTGACTACGGGTGACAGCTTTCTACTGCTTTTCGCACACTACAATACTAAGACTGAATCATATGTTTGCAGCCACAGCATAACGTTTTGATATTTACAAATGGTTAAAAATGGGTTTCTAAAAAGTTCATTTTGGTTGTATCAATAGAGCACTAAATGGGCCCTCCAGTGTCATAGCGGAATGTCTGTGGACTTACAATGCTAGAATCCGGGTTTCAATATCCGTGGTGGGCAGAGCACAGATAGCCCATTGTGTAGCTTTGTGCTTAATTACAAACAAACAAAGCACTAAATGGCTCATCTGCAGTGGTGGTAAAATATGGCCAGTGTGGGGGTGAGATCCTTTTTTTAACAGGTGGGTCATGCTTTACCTTTTAGCTAGATAACAGACATACATATATATATGGAAAGAAGTTGGAACCAATCAAAACCTCATTTTCGTACAAAAATGTGTGGTGCATCTAATGGTGGCAGAAGCATGGTTTGTGTAGAAATAAATATTGGTGGGCTTGTGGATTTAAACATATTCTGGACTGGTACCATTAATGCCACACATTATAATGACCACATACATTACCCTTTTTATTACCATATGTTGGTGCAATTGGCCCTTAATTCTGTCTGCTTTCATTGTATTAAACTTGGTGACGTTTCTAGAAAATGAGTGAAGTGACCAAGCGTAGTAACCTGCACTCACATTTGATTCCAACCACATATGATTGCTCAAAGGAGATGTAATACATCTTAACAAGTGACTTTAAATTTTGAAGATGTTCTGGAAATGTCTTTCATGAAGGTTGTGGATGATGGTCTACATTGTCCAGGTGTCTGAGCAACTGCATCACTGGTTTGGAAGTGGTTCCAAATTCTGCTAATAACACTTGAGATATTTACTTGTTGCAAACTCACAAAATCATTCCATGATTGGGCAGCTTCCATTTGTTCAATGGCTCTCCATATAATTGAAGCATCCACAAGTCTTCTTTGGAAGTCTAACAATGGCTTATTAAAAAAAAATGGAGCACTTTAAACTCCATGATTCATCTCAATAAGACAAATAACATTGGGTTGTATGCATGTTTCATATTGGCCTAAACATAAGACAGTTTTTTTTAAATCAAGACTTGAAAAATACAACTCACTCTATATTTGCAGACTATGCTCAGAGTCAACTTAACATGCTTAGTCAAGGCTGTTGCAAAATAGTGCAAGTTCAGATTCAGTTTAACCATACATACACTATCAGAGCTTTACTGGATTAGAATATTGTATTGATGAAGTATTTGCTGAAGTTTTCTTATGTGCTTTATAGTACTGTTACGTCTCCGATCGTTAGTTAATTTTCCGTAAAAATTCTTACCAAAGAAACTTTACCGATACAAGTCTTTTCGTAAATAAAAACTGGTTTATTCTTTCTGAATACAACTTTGCGATACACTTGATTTCAACATTTGCTCTATAACAAACGTTATAATTCACAACGAACTTCTCACGTGCTCAACAATATTCTTACTCATTACCTTACGTTGCTTCTTGGCCTGTCTTATATATATACAAGACTACCTCAATCTAGTAGTCTCCCGACATTTCATGAAGGTTTGAGAATAAAGTGGCGTGATACAAGCGTCACGTGACCTGTGTTGTCGTAACAGTACTGTATGATTAATTCTTAGATCTACTTGGCATTTTCTATATTAAATTCTCATTTTTGAAAAGAGAGAGATAGCCTTAAATTCAGGTCAATACTGTAGAACTGGCTGCATAACAATCACTTCCATTTATATTACATGACTGATCGTTAAGTGCCTAATTTATACAACAGTAAACTGTAGGAAATAAATTATTTGCACGTTACTTTATAACAGTAGTTTTGTCTTGCCAAGCTATAATATTACAAATACTCATTATTCTTTGTTTTGTGCAGTGTAAACAGACATAAACACTCTTTACACAATTTAACTTCGAATGCAACATGGTCACTCTGGTTAACTAAAGATGTTCTTAAAAGTATCCAAAAGACTAAGTAGTATGATGTCTCCCAAATTCTGAAGTCTCAATATTTAAATTTAAAGAATCTAAATAATGATCACACGAAACACAACCAGGAAAATTTGCCCACTGCCAAAATTAAAAGGATTTTCAAAACACTTCAAATTGTTTTGTCTAAAATGTTCAAACTCACCCTTCCATCAAACATATCACTATAAACTAGCCAGTCTTCTCTTGAAATTCCAATCAACGTCAGAGGATTAGCAGGAGTGATACTCTGGTTTGGATGTTTATGACACTGCAGAGTTTGGCGATGTAAAATTTCATCACGAACAGCATCACCAATCACCTTTGTAGCTCCTATGTTAGTCCCATTGGTGACAATCCACATATTTGTTGTGTTAGCCGCCTAATGCATTATAATTAGAAATTACATAGGCTTAAGAATATATTTTATGTATGTGCAAACATATAATATAAATATAAATCTAATTAATTTAGTTCTTATTGAAAATTCAACTTGACCACTCATTTATTCTTTTAGACTATATTTTCAATGCTATAATTTAGTTGTTTGCTAGAGGGAGCTGCTAATCAGGATGAGGAGGCTAGATCTAGAGAGTTCATTATAAATATGAGTAATTAGTGTGTGAAAATACAATGAAGCTTTGTTTGTTGTTAAGCACAAAGCTGCATAATGGGTTATCTGTGCTGTGCCTGCCAAAGGGATCAAATCCCAGCTTTTAGTGTTATAAGTCTTCATACTTAATGCTGAGCCACTGCAGCAAAATTCTGTGAAGTATTTCTCAAGTTGAATGTTAATGTGAAGTTAGTTCAGGGTCAGAACAGTTATTCAGACTAACAGTGTTAATTATCACATCTATTCTGCTATTCAGTCACTCAGTGAGTTGTATGTTTATTTATCTAATAATTTCAAGTACGTCAACCAGTTTTTACTGAAATCTTGTATGTGAAATTGAGGATTACGTTGAAAGGCTTGTTTATGAAACCATGTCTACAAATGAACATGGCTGTAAATAAACGTAATTGAAGTGACAGATTGGTTTGCTAGTCACAGACTGGGCATTATTTTACCAAACAATCCAAAAGAACCCACCCAACAATAGATGTTACAACATTGTATTTCGTGAAATGTGCATTTTTATAAATGTTTGTGCTGATAAAAACTTTGTAGATTAGCAACTGAAACTTGAGAGCTTGTTATTTTGATTTTAAAGATTTTTCCTCTAGAAATACTATCCTGGGTCTAGCAACTAGGCTTAAGTTTTGATTAGACAATGAAATGTTATACACTAAACCTAATACAAACAAAAAGTTTACAACACCACAATTCTTTCACTTCATATTAATAATAAAAAAGTTCAATTGTTTAGTCAAACCAAGTGGTCTATATCAACACCTACTGGGTGAGATTACAATTCTTGACGTATTTGCAAAATAAACAAACAATCTCACCACATCTGTTTTTATTCTTTCTTAACAAAGACAATCTACAGAAAAAAAAAAAGTTTAAACAGGCCTGTGCATTTAAACTTCATAAAAGTTGTGTTAGTTTTAATAATGGATTTTCCATAATTTAGCTATACATATTTGAAAAAAATATTTATTTTTCTGTATCACGTAAGGATTTTTTACAAATCAGGAAGAAAATAAAACTCCTACTTAGATCAGATTAGTATTTCATTTACCACAATGAACATTTTTTATTATTATGTTTAGTGTCAAATGAATATGCACCCTCTTTCATACCGCATTTTTTTTGTGAAATCTACGTCTTTTAGTCTCAGAACTATGTGTTGTGATCTTTCTTTTATGTATTGCATTATGACATTTTGTGAAAAATCTGTATGTGATGGAGAAAAATGGATATCATTTTTCAGCATACAGAATTTACTGTAGAACATGTAAAAATTTCAAGACAATAAAAACCATTGCAGGCCTGTGTTATTAGGCATTGTTTTGTTTTTCAAGTTTATAGTTCTCTTACGAGTTCTCAATATCTTTTTTGAAAAAGTAGCTACATGTTACAGATATAAAAATTTATTATTTTCAAATCTTATGATTACAAAAGATTAAATAACAATCATATAGAAAAATGTGATCAAAAATTACATGTAAACTATGGATTACAAATTTAGACAGGTTTACCCAGCTACCCTATTTTACAATTATACAATCCATAAAGAAAAAGTAAAGTACTATATTATCTTGTTTTTTATACTACATACATAGTGTACACACACACACACAGTGTATCATGAATGCTGATAATATTTACCTTGATTAATCCTTTCTGAAAATTTTCAAGTTGTCGAGCATTTTTCCAACTTGTTAAACGAGCCACGTTAGATACTATTACAAGGACAATTCGAGGACTGCTTAAATCCCACTCTTGATGAACCACCTCAGCAACTTCTTCAATAGCAACATTATGACTAACTCTTATAAATGGCCGCCCCTTTAAAACAATGCAAACAGAGAATTTATACAACCACACGTATTTTTTGACAAAGCATTTAAAAAACTGAAAAGAAAGGTGAAAAACATTAAATCAACACACCTATAAGAGAGAGAGAATTCTCCATCACATACGATCCGCAACAGCCTTGTCATGTAAAATTTAAGAAGTTATGAGTACAATAAGATGGGCCAAACACAGAATTTTATACTTAAAACTGAAGTACTCTCTATTACACTGTAAAATTTCTCCTATGAAAACAAAAATACATTACCCTGATGAGAGCTCCTGAAACTAGCTGTAATACTATCTTTTGACATAATTGCTAAATTTAATGAAGGTTAATTATACCATTTTCAACCAAGAAAAACTAGTTAATATATGCAATTTGCTAATCTGTTATTCATGGTGGCTCTGTAATGGTATGAAATGTACTGGGACACACATTTAGAAAAATCTAAATCAAGGTTTTTCTGTCCACACAGCAAGATAACTTGCAATGACAAACATCACAGGTCACTGATACCTACAGCACTTGCTGTTTGATGTGAAAATATGTTTTGTACTATTAAGCCCCAATGAAGCCACAAGGGCAAAATGTTGGCTGAAATCATTTTTTTTTATTATTATCTGAAGAGTAAATGTTTTTTTCTAACTTTATTGCCAAAATACAGCACTTGCTCATACAAAATATTGGTGGGAAAATGTCCAAATTTTATATTCTTCTGCCAGATTCTGCTCCTCCCTTTTTACTTCGTTCTTATCCTGATTGACATATAAACTAAATATGCTGATAGATGGCAGCACCATCGTAAATGAAGCTATTTACTGGCTCCACTGTACATATAGATAATACATATTACTGAATTATATGTATAATCCAATAACCAAAAAAGGAAATACACTTATATTTACAGAAATTTCACAGAAAAATACACCGACATACTTCTCAGAAATATGAATTTTCCATTTTCTAGTTATACCATCCTGCACATGTATTAGATTGATATTTATTTTAAAACCAAATGAGGTAAAAAGTTTCTTACTACACATTGTCTGTCCTACATTAACACAATAGCACATTCCTTTTGAATCATACATCTGTCATTCATTCATATATCGAACCTAATGAAGAGCAGTTACTCAAACCGCCACTATTAAGTGAAATAATTATTTCTTTCGTACACGTGCATTTTGAAAAACTACTACTTTTATGTAGTAAGACAGGTTTCCAGTCACGTGGCTTAATATTTTACATGAAAAAATGTTTCTTACTACTGCCAACTTAAACTTCCGAAAAAACTTATGTTTCTGCATGACATACAGATCATAGTTTGAAACTGACTGTGTTGAGATTACTACTAAAAAAATAAACTACAGGATGATAAACTGCCAATCAGAAGTAAGTTATAAACTACAGGGTGATAAACTGCCAATAAGAAGTCAGTTATAAACTATAGGGTGATAAACTGCCAATAAGAAGTCAGTTATAAACTATAGGGTGATAAACCTCCAATAAGAAGTCAGTTATAAACTATAGGGTGATAAACCTCCAATAAGAAGTCAGTTATAAACTATAGGGTGATAAACTGCCAATAAGAAGTCAGTTATAAACTATAGGGTGATAAACTGCCAATAAGAAGTCTGTTATAAACTATAGGGTGATAAACTGCCAATAAGTATTCCATTATAAACTTCTTATAAAAAAAAATGATGCAAAACATTCAAACATGCTATTTTAAAATCTGCCACTTGTTGTTAACATTCTAAAAATCAGACTTGATTTTCTGGAAAGAAGTCATTCTTTAAATGACGGACATATTAAAAATACTTTAATTGTTTACTTGTCAGTTTTCTTTGCAAATCATGTTTAAATACCATACATGTACTAGCAAAAAAAATCAAAACTCACTTAAAATGCTATAGTTTAACAACTGAAACTGTTTTATTTACAACTTAAATATTGTATTCAGTAATCCAGATGTCAAACAACATTATAATGAAAAAAAAAAGAAAAGAAAGCAAACTTGAGTTCTTGTGAAAATATATAACACACATTATATTGTGTAGAACAAAGGTTAGTGCAAAAATGAACATATGCTGACAAACTGTCATTTGTTTTAATTTTTTTATGCTGCACCACAAAATATATTACACAATGTTCAAGTTCAGATCTCATATTTTATTTCTTTACTTTTAATAATTTGATAATAGTAACATTTGTATAGATTCATGTTGTGTCTGTGTCATCAATACCGTAACATGCGTTACAAACCTATTTTACATTTAATCATCTCAACAAAATAATCGATTAACTGAAATTATAATTAAATTTATTAAGGTCAAGAAAATAATCAACTTATCCAAATTAGTGTTTCCAATTTTTACTGATTATTAAAACAATCCCAGTAAATGAAATATTGGTTATTACAGTTTCTCTCTCTTTTTTTTATTAATTCAAGATCATTCTGCCTGATCGAATAATGTTAGGACTCACGAAAATAATCAACTAACCAAAATTAGTGTTTCTAGTTATTACTATTTTAAATTACTCTAACTATCCAAGTTTCACGTGAGAATAATAAGTTAGGTAATTCCACTAATTGTCCAGCTCTGTGTAACCTATGTGTGAAGGTGCGATTTTCCTTGTTTTTAAAGCTACATTAGCTTACAGCATATTTTGATCACAATGAAGAAAAACTGATCACTTTATTTTATTTCAACAAAGACATTTCAACTTTCACCCTTTCCAGTAAGTAGAACATGTTACTGGTATTACAAAAATTAGAAGCTGAAGTAATGACAATAAACTATAAAACATCACAGAAAAACTGGCTGTGATCTTAAACATCACTGACACTAATAAATGACTCAGAATGGGTTAGCAGCAAAGTGCATAATAGTACAACTGAAAAATGATATTGGACCAGTTATGACTGATGCATATGAATAATTCATGATGTCAGAAAACACACAGGTTCCAGAAGTCTTAATATGAAATGATAAAATCCCTCAAGCCAGAGTGCTTTTGAAAGGTGGACCTTTTTTCTTCAGGGGCAAACTGGGAATAACTATCACTTAATTATTTACTAAATAAAAGTTACTGAATAACAAAAACAATTGATCACATGTTAGATAATGAACGGTTTTGAACCATTAAAGGAAAAAATAAAGAAAGAAAGCACCATCTTCATTGTCTAAAGTAATCAAATGTAATATTAGATAGATTGAAATACACCAAAGAAAACACCTGTTTAGAAACAAAAGATAAAAACCAATGAGGCAACATGCAAGTTTCAAACAATTTATACTAAATAATAGACACAGGAACCTTTAAAAATTCTACTAATAAATCTAAAACTAGTGTTACCCACCACCTTTATTACTGACCTGTAGTAAAATTAATTAACTACACTACCAATCAGCAACAGACATTTTACTGTTTATAGTATATAGTGTAAAAAATTGTTACATTACAAAAGGATTATATACTACCCGTATTAATATAACACAAGTTTAATGTTAGAATTGAAACTGGCCAAACACTGACAGAAAAACTACCAGTGTGTCAATTTTTGACCTTTTACATTCGAGTTACCGTATTTTTCGGCGTATAAGACGCACTTTATTTAATCCCAAAATTTTGTGTCAAAATCTGCTTGCGTCCTATACACCGAAGGTATGAATAATATATATGTATATATACGATATGCACAAGCCACGTGTAAATATATTTAAATAGGCATGCATAGTTAAGTTCAATTGAATGTGTTATTTATAACAATAGTAGTTTTTTCTTGAAAAACATAACTATTTATAATGCT